AATATTGACTGCTCGGGTCCCAGAAAATGTGTTTTCGGAAATTCAATGCTAAAATAACAAACGTTATGATGTTATATTTTTTAGAATTAAATCGTAATTATTACTACTAATGTTTTCTTTCTACGTCCTGGAACAAGGCTTGGATCATTGAACTCTTCTGTCATGGAAGCTGGAACAAAGCTTGTTAATTCCATCTATCGAAGTATGCAACCAACATCACAGTATTTTTATTGCAATACGCGATTTGCGTATGATGCGTATTGCACTGTGATGTTGGTTGCATACTTGCAATGATGACGTCGGCTACGATAATTAATTAACATACCGTATAATATATATAGTAATATAGATGGTGAATGGTGCGCAAATTGAAAACTAAATAGATTAAATTAAGTAAATTAAGTAATTAGCATAATAGTCAATTCTACGCTGACGCTCTCATAATATTCCGACAAAAGCATTTCATCGCCAAAATACGACGAAGACAAGGCCACAGAAACACAAATAGAACAAGACATCCTCAACGGTAGAACCTCTCCCTGTGAATAGTCTATGCCAATTTCGTTTGCTGATCTCATAGGAACACGTGTCGTATCTCAGATAACTAACCCATTCAAATATTCTACTTTCTATTCTAGTTAATTGAATAATAAATTATGAATCCTAATAAATTTATATCCCTTAAATTCTTCCTTGGGGGCGTATTAAAGAAAATGACTTTTTTTAAAATATTTTATCGGTTTTAAATTGGAAACTTATTAGGGGTTGTTATGAAGTGCATCTTAATTAACTTCTGTAGGATTTTATTAGATTAACAAAATTTATATTTAGTGCCTGTCGTTGATTGGACCGGGTAATTTCCTTCACATAGAGATACGGCGCATAAAATGCTTGCAGCGTAGTTTGGAGTTTCCGTAAAGTGAATCTAAATTGGATAGGGTCTGAAGAGGGATAACCTAATTTTATACACACGCAATCTAGCATTCTCTAAAATTATACCGTTCACGTAAAACGGTAACTTACTTTCGAACCTATAACAATAGACATCTCAAAATCATTTTATTTTAGTACGAGATATAACTACATCGTAACTTCGCAAACCTCAAGATTATACTTGAGACTAATCCGTGAATAATCCCGGGGTTGGAAGCGAAACGGTTGGAATGTGAGGGTGTAGTATCACGACAGATTAAGGTAAGGATATAAGGAAGTCCGCGACAGTAATTTGAATGAGTTCGTTAGGTTACGTTAATAGAACATAAAATTGCGTGAAATTAAATCTCTTGGCTTAACTAGACCCTTTAAACGACGTTTCGTGGCCAAAAACGTTTTGTATCTATGCCAAATTAAACGTTAATTAATTATTCCCCAAATCAATTTAATATTCACAAATATTCCCAATTCGTCAGAACGATTTGAAACCAAGCTTCCAAACGCATTTCGATCTGAAATAGGGGGATAGAGCCATTACACTTTTTAACCCGGTTTTGAAGTACGTCATAAAAAAACTTCCAGTTGATACCAAAGGGACACTACTCTTTAGTCGTTACAGATGCGTTGCTTTTAGATCTAAATCTCTCATTGATGATATGGTGTATATTTGACGATAATAGTTACTTATACAGGTTGTCCCGTATCTTCCCCATTAGAGCATTGTACGGTTGTAAGATAAATTATTCTGAAGCGATCTTTCTAATAAAATTTTTTCGAAATGTTTATAGTGTTCACGGAAAAAGTTTATTTCTCTTTCCGTGTCGAATCTATTGGCGTAGCGGATCGGCCGAGGGTGCCACCGATTACCTGAGTCTGATTTACGATCTGCCAGTTCGTTTAAACAGCTCCCGTGCGGTTATTATAAACATTTCAAAAAAAAATTATTAGAAAGATCGCTTCAGAATAATGTTCTGGTGCGGAAGATATGGGACACGCTGTATAGCAAGGCTGCGAGGTTAGAGCCGAGGTCGCTTGCGGCCGAGGCTGAAGTGTTATATTGTTTTCTTTAAGTCTAAATCCCTCATTGATGATATGGTGTATATTTGATGATAGTATATAGTTACTTATATACCAATGCCGCGAGGTTATAGCTAGAGCCGAGGTCGCTTGCGGCCGAGGCTGAAGTGTTATATTGTTTTCTTTAGGGTTAAATCTCTCATTGATGATATGATGTATAATATACACCATCAAATATACACCATATCATCAATGAGATATTTAACCAAAAAGAAAACAATATAACACTTCAGCCTCGGCCGCAAGCGACCTCGGCTCTAGCTATAACTTCGCGGTCTTGGTATATAACTAACTATTATCGTCAAATGTATATGTTATCTATCATCAATGAAATATTTAACCATAAAGAAAACAATATAACACTTCAGCCTCGGCCGCAAGCGACCTCGGCTCTAGCTATAACCTCGCGGCGATAGTATATAAGTAACTACTATCGTCAAATATACACGATATCATCAATGAGAGATTTAACCCTAAAGAAAACAATATAACACTTCAGCTTCGGCCGCCAGCGACCTCGGCTCTAGCTATAACCTCGCGGTCTTGGTATATAACTAACTATTATCGTCAAATGTATATGTTATCATCAATGAGATATTTAAACCTAAAGAAAACAATATAACACTTCCGCCTCGGCCGCAAGCGACCTCGGCTCTAGCTATAACATCGCGGCCTTCGTATATAAATAATTATTATCGTCAAATCTGTATTATATTATCAATGAGGGATTTATAACACTTCAGCCTCGGTCGCAAGCGACCTCGGCTCTAGATATAACCTTGCGGCCTTGGTATATAAATAACTATTATCGTCGAATATATATCATATCATCGATGATAGATTTAGACCTAAAAGTAGACATTATAACACTTCAGCCTCGGTCGCAAGCGACCTCGGCTCAAAGCTATAACATCCCAGCCTTCGTATATAAATAACTATTAACGTCTAATATATATTATATCATTAATGAGGGATTTAGATTTAAAACAAGACATTATAACACTTCAGCCTCGGTCGCAAACGACCTCGGCTCAAAACTATAACCACGCGATCTTTATATATAAATAACTGTTAACTTCAAATATACAGTGTGTTAATAAATTATCGTACCCGCCGTCATCATTGCAAGTATGCAACCAACATCACAGTGCAATACGCATCATACGCAAATCGCGTATTGCAATAAAAATACTGTGATATTGGTTGCATACTTGCAATGATGATTTTAGTGATATTTTAATGATTTTAAGTAACTTCTTTTAGTTATGATGTATAAAGACGTAAAATAACAATAAACGTATATAAACAAGAAACTCCCCTTTGAGTAACGCCCCTATATCTGTCAGTAGCGACATCAAAAGTCAATAAGTTGTGAGGGCGTTGTATCGTAGAGAAAGCGTCACGACGGCACCGGAAAAGAAATGGGACGTCTACTACCAGGAGGTCGCTTAGGCGTCATGGCGCGGCTCGCATGGCACCTATTAACTAAAGATGCCATGCACGTTTCTATATAATGGTCGAGTCTGGGCCCGGCGAGGAAATAGAATTTCGCGACCATTCGGAATTTATCGTATTTTGCTCTGGCAGCGTTTACGATGGTCGATTTACTACGAGAAGAGATATAAATCGTTCTTGCTTACGGCTTATTACCGATCGAATCCGACTCGTATCGCGATTATCCGCGCGTTATTGATAGCGTAAAACATGTGAAGATATATATTAATCCAGAATTTTGTATCAAGTTTTACGACCAACATTTATAACCCAGCTTTTTTTAATTTATAATATATTAAAAATGATGAACAACGTAAATCATATTTTTTCTCCTTTTCATCAATATATCAAGTTCAAGTCATTGATCACATTTTTATATAAAATCGATTATAATAAATAATGCTTTCGACATTTTTGCTATTGTCGTGGAAAAAGCTGCGTAAGTGCCGCGCTTTATGCCTCCTCGGGGCGCAAGAATTAGGGAAGTTACCGACGAAAGAAAGTTTTGACCCCGAAGGTAACGTTGTTTGCATTTAAATGTTCGCCTAGAGGGCGGGTTGAGAGTGCGTAACCCCTTGTGGAAGGATGTTTAGCATTTTAAACGCCTACGGATTTCTCTCGGTAAAAGTTTCCTTCTTGGTTAAAATTTTACATTTCTATAAAGGAACTTTTTCGAGGGATTCGTGTCAAATTTTTAAAACACTTAAATAAAACTAATTAACTTCTTATTATTATTGTTATTACTTACTCGATGTTTATTTTGAGAAGTGTTTGTCGCCCTATTTCTTATACAAACTCGCTAAGAAAGTCACGAAGCTCGAAAAACGTGTTCAAACAATTCTCTCTTCTCGGTATTGTTTGCTCACTTATAAAGCAAACTTACCTTTCTTATATGGAAAGGGTTGATATAACATTTAGAGTTTTGTTTTAAAAGTTTCTCTTCAATTAATAATTAAGAAGAAAAATGGCGGAGGAGCCGGGGAAAAAATAATTTCTTTAACAAATTCAATAACATTAAATTTAAATTATCTCTCTTTGCGGGTAACCATTTTAGCTTTTCTCATACGAAGTTTATACGGTATTGTTTCGGTAAATCTCGCGTAGCGGATGCGTTCAGAACGGAGGAAGCGGTCGGAATATCCCATTTCGTCGTGATGAATGCTTAATATGTGTTTGGATGGGTGTTTGCGGTACGTTCGGTCGAAAATTAAACTCTTTGAGTTACAGTTACGGCCGTTGAAATATCGTATAGAGCTCCCCCTTAAGGCAAAATGGCTTAACGGAAACTGTACCTCCTTGGCGGCTTTTGAAACGCGTTTAAAATTGTTGATGGTTCGCGTTTCGAATCGCTTCCAGACAAAGTGCATAACGCAGTTTCGCTACTTTACGATATAAAGTATCTAAACATACCTACTTTGCCTTTAACGTTCGTTGCAGCGTACTTTATAGTTTTAACGATGATGTTGTATGAATTTAATGAAAATGTTTTCTTTTAGCAGGAGGGACTTTTTATGAATGCAGCAGAATCGATTATTTTTCGAGCGAAGAATATAGTCCTGATCCTAATGATTCTACTATGGCAATACCATGTAAGTATAGAATGCGCAAATTCTAATTAATAGATAACAAAACTTCTTGATTCGTTGATTTTTGACTACTTAATAACATCACTGATTGTTTTCTTCAACATCGTCGTGAATCTAAACACCTTCTTCAACGCCTGAGTCAAATTCTGCCAAAGTAGTCGTTTTGTAATTGACACTTCATGGCACTATTCCATCATCTACAAAAAATAAGAAATTTGATTTAATGAAATTTTGACGTTTTCATCAATTTTCTTTTATAACTCATTAATTATATGTGATGGAAAAAAACTTTTCATACAAAAAAGATTTAGAATTAACCCGTAAAATATATCAAATAAGTTATTTTATTCCATCGATCAGTAGTACCAACCCAACTCAAAAATAAAACCAAATTTTGATGTTTTTGATCATTTTCGGCTATAACTTATTAATTGTGCATGATGGAGAATTATTTTTTAAACAAAAAATGTTTAGAATTGACTCATAAGACGTATTAAATAAAGATAATTATTCCATCAATTAGCATTACCAACCCAAATTAAGAAAAATAGAAATTTTGACGTTTTCATTAATTTTCTTTTATAACTCATTAATTTTATGTGATGGAAAACAACTTTTCATACAAAAAAGATTTAGAAGTAATCCATAAAATATATCCAATAAGTTATTTTATTCCATCGATCAGTAGTACCAACTCACCACAAAAATATAACCAAATTTTGATGTTTTTGATCATTTTCGGTTATAACTTATTAATTGTGCATGATGGAGAATTATTTTTTAAACAAAAAATGTTTAGAATTGACTCATAAGACGTATTAAATAAAGATAATTATTCCATCAATTAGCATTACCAACCCAAATTAAGAAAAATAGAAATTTTGACGTTTTCATTAATTTTCTTTTATAACTCATTAATTTTATGTGATGGAAAACAACTTTTCATACAAAAAAGATTTAGAAGTAATCCATAAAATATATCCAATAAGTTATTTTATTCCATCGATCAGTAGTACCAACCCAACTCAAAAATAAAACCAAATTTTGATGTTTTTGATCATTTTCGGCTATAACTTATTAATTGTGCATGATGGAGAATTATTTTTTAAACAAAAAATGTTTAGAATTGACTCATAAGACGTATTAAATAAAGATATTTATTCCATCATTCAGCATTACCAACCCAACTTAATATAAATAGAAATTTTGAGGTTTTCATCAATTTTCTTTTATAACTCATTAATTATATGTGATGGAAAAAAACTTTTCATACAAAAAAGATTTAGAAGTAATCCATAAAATATATCGAATAAGTTATTTTATTCCATCGATCAGTAGTACCAACCCAACTCAAAAATAAAACCAAATTTTGACGTTTTTGATCATTTTCGGTTATAACTTATTAATTGTGCATGATGGAGAATTATTTTTTAAACAAAAAATGTTTAGAATTGACTCATAAGACGTATTGAATAAAGATATTTATTCCATCAATCAGCATTACCAACCCAACTTAAGAAAAATAGAAATTTTGACGTTTTCAACAATTTTCTTTTATAACTCATTAATTATATCTGATGGAAAAAAACTTTTCATACAAAAAAGATTTAGAATTAACCCGTAAAACATATCCAATAAGTTATTTTATTCCATCGATCAGTAGTACCAACCCAACTCAAAAATAAAACCAAATTTTGATGTTTTTGATCATTTTCGGTTATAACTTATTAATTGTGCATGATGGAGAATTATTTTTTAAACAAAAAATGTTTAGAATTGACTCATAAGACGTATTGAATAAAGATATTTATTCCATCAATCAGCATTACCAACCCAACTTAAGAAAAATAGAAATTTTGACGTTTTCAACAATTTTCTTTTATAACTCATTAATTATATCTGATGGAAAAAAACTTTTCATACAAAAAAGATTTAGAATTAACCCGTAAAACATATCCAATAAGTTATTTTATTCCATCGATCAGTAGTACCAACCCAACTCAAAAATAAAACCAAATTTTGATGTTTTTGATCATTTTCGGTTATAACTTATTAATTGTGCATGATGGAGAATTATTTTTTAAACAAAAAATGTTTAGAATTGACTCATAAGACGTATTGAATAAAGATATTTACTCCATCAATCAGCATTACCAACCCAATTTAAGAGAAATAGAAATTTTGACGTTTTCATCAATTTTCTTTTATAACTCATTAATTATATGTGATGGAAAAAAACTTTTCATACAAAAAAGATTTAGAATTAACCCGTAAAATATATCAAATAAGTTATTTTATTCCATCGATCAGTAGTACCAACCCAACTCAAAAATAAAACCAAATTTTGATGTTTTTGATCATTTTCGGCTATAATTTATTAATTGTGCATGATGGAGAATTATTTTTTAAACAAAAAATATTTAGAATTGACTCATAAGACGTATTAAATAAAGATATTTACTCCATCAATCAGCATTGCCAACCCAATTTAAGAGAAATAGAAATTTTGACGTTTTCATCAATTTTCTTTTATAACTCATTAATTATATCTGATGGAAAAAAACTTTTCATACAAAAAAGATTTAGAATTAACCCGTAAAATATATCAAATAAGTTATTTTATTCCATCGATCAGTAGTACTAACCCAACTCAAAGATAAAACCAAATTTTGACGTTTTTGATCATTTTCGGTTATAACTTATTAATTGTGCATGATGGAGAATTATTTTTTAAACAAAAAATGTTTAGAATTGACTCATAAGACGTATTGATACCACTTTATCAGTTTGTACTCCGCAAATTCTAACCAATCCAGTTAATGAAATTAATGATCTAATCTTGAATTGTTTCATAATACGCATTAGGTTTGTTTATCATTGGGATAATATTAATTACATTAACCAAGGGATGATTTCGCAACGTCGTCGCAGAGTCGATTTATGCCCTAAATAATATACAATTCTCGTTTCTGTTTGTCAAACAGTACCGAGTATTGATGTAGCAGCGCTCTAGTACGCATTTACCTATATTACAAACGGAGGGAAATTGACTTTTGCTATCTACTAACAACGTTTCGATTCAATTTTGCGATTTATATGAATACAACTCCATCTCATTTCCTCCCCGGCTATTATGCCATTAAAATTTAAAATGTTCAAAAACGACAACATAAATCGAAAATACATATTAAACGTTTTTTATCGTTATTTCGATCGTTAAAAATTGGGGTGAAAAAAAGAACGGAATAAACGCACCCCTAATTCTTTCGAGCCAGGAATTAATTACCGTATAATCTGCTAATTTATATACAGGCCGGGCCCAATTAATGTTGGCCACTTAAAGAGAGTTACGCTTATCCCGCTAATCCTTAGGTGATATATTCTTTTTTGTTGTGCAGATGCCGTCACCAAGTCCGCCGGGTTTTTCGTCGTAGCCACTTTGCTCCTATGCTGCAGTTACTGCTGCTGCATAATTGGGCATTGCGCTAAACACCGTGGCCTTTACACCTTTATCTCGGGAGTTCTTTTCATAATCACAGGTAAATTAAAATTTGTTACCATTTAAATTAATTAATGTTATTTTTTGATAGGTTTATCGATGTTAACCGGCCTCGTAATGTACATCTCACTTTTTAAAGCGGAAATCGGAGGAAAACTTCGACCTGTATCTCTTCTTCAACCGCCGATTTTCACATACAGATATGGTTATTCTTTCGCCCTATTCCTCGTTGGATTTATAAGTTGTCAAATAACGGGGATCAGTACAATTTTCCTTTTTATACATCGCATGCAAGCTTCGTACCGGATCGAAAACGGGCAGGAAACGGGGAAGTTCCACGTCCCAGCTCCCAGTAACTATTTCCACGTAGATTCCAACTCGATTTATTGTAGACGGCATCCGAATGCTTACATCAATTCGAATAGTATCAGGATTCCCACGAATTATCCACCACCAGCTCATCAAAAACGATTTTTCTTCAGCAAAGAACCACTGCCTGAATCACCGTGTAGTTTACATAGACATCAATCTTTAAATAGTGGAAATTCTTTAAAGGATGTTTCGGGTAAGGAGTCTAAAAAAGAAATAAATGAATTATAATAAATAATTTTTTGTGTAGGATTTTATGATTTCCCTCCACCTCCAACGATAAGTTACCAATTCAATGAGCCATTTTCCGGCCCGGAACAGCGATTTAATCATCGATTATCAAGGGATGTAACAACAAATACGGTGTCGACGACGGCGGACGTCGTGACGTCTTGTGATGAAGATTTTCTGCAGGACAACTTCGTGGATTACTCTCCAAGCGTCCAACACGATGTTGAGTTCGTGACCTTTGACCTGGACAGACCACTGGTCGTCCGCGCTCATAGTAACGTCTCGATAAATTCGAATTGCGGTGATTTACCAACGCCACCCCTCCGCAAAGATTACACCACCAATTTCGATCCACTAAGAAGGACTACTCCCGTATAAAATGTGATTATAACCCGAAAAATTCGAGGTGCGGGTTAAAACAACTAAAAAAGAATCAATAAAATCGATTAAATTAAAAAAAACAAAGATTAAATAAGTGAGAATTGTTAAAGAAAAAGTTTTAATAAAGAAAGCCATGTTTATCCATAACGGTATTAGGAAGATTGCTTATTAACCCAAAGAAATTAATAAAAACTATGTATAAAAATTAATATCGAATAAATTAAGAGAAAAAAATGTTAAAAGATTAAAAATAAATATCCTATATAAAATTTAAACCTGAAAAATGCGTTGAAATCAAAAAAAGAGAGAATAAAATATGATAAAAGTGACCCCGAAAGCGAATCGTAAAATGTAAATGTAATTACCAGACATATCCGCATCAAAACTATTAAATTATTCATAGCCAAACCAAAAGGATAATGTTGTCAATTTTATACCCAAAATAAAAAAAAAACATTGTTGTATATAATACTATTAACGTTATGAACTGTTGTTTCGTTTTTGTGTTGTATTGGAAATAATATTGAATACAATCGTCCAAAAAAAAAGTATTCCTTATTATATGTGAAATGTATTTGAAAAACACCGAGAAGACATTAATTTGCTCGTTGTAAAAGGACCAGAATAAAATTATTTCTCAAAGAATCATTTTATTATATTAATCAAAATATTAAATTCCTTTAAAAAATCCTTCAAAGCTTTGTCATCAAGTTCTTCAAAGATATTTTTGAACCAGGACTATACATTAGATTAGTTTATCATTTAATGGATACTATGTATGGTGATTATAAGATAATGTAAATAAATTTGCCAATAAAGAATCAGGTTATGGTTGGTTGTTCTTCCAGTTGGGTATTGAAGTTTGGTTCAAAATAAAAAAAATGCTAAACTAAAATAGAAAGACACACACCTAAATGGATTAATCTTCTGCAAACCACAGGCCTAGTGACTCAACTTATGGTGAAGTTGGAAGGACAAGATGCAGAAGATTATCACATTCATTTTGTTTTTAATTAATCACAGTGCTTTCGTGATTAATACATACGATATAATTATAATTTGAGATTTGGTACTGCAGTTTTGTATCAAAGTTGAATTCTTGAAAAATTGAGTTTTCCATAACCATGCTATCTTCACCATTGTTGGTTGACACCTAGCCCACCTAGCGTAGTTTGCCGCCTTATATTGCAATAATTCTTTCCATTCTCTCTCCCAATTATTGTATATTTCCTTTTCCAACATTCTAACTACATAATGTGTCCTTCGGGAACCTTAATCACCTTCATTTCAAATAGGTTATATCTGTCAAGTATAAGAATTTAGTTTTGCTTTTTATCAAAAGATGGCGCAAAAGATAAACTTAAAAAAGCTTTGTAAAAATGATTAAAATGCGAAAACGTGAAAAATCAATTTAAAAACTTAGCTTACAACGTCCATTTAATGATTCTTTTCTTATATTCAACCCTACAAATAAAGTAAAGTTATTTAGTTTGATACAATTTTTAAAACATTTATCTTACCGGCAGTTTTAAAAAGAAAGCTTTATCATTTTTACTGTGTTTTTATCAGTAATGATGCACAACTTGCAATTATTTAGAATACTTTATTTTTCTCCTTTTCTGGTAAAGCCCACATAACATCTTTTCAGAGGCGAAATTTAACCTATAAGTAGGTAACCTAACCTATAAGTTCAAAGCGTTATAAACAATAAAGAAAAATACACTTTGTAAAACTTTTTTGGAAATGAGGAGCACTTTCTTGCTTAAAAATAAATTATAATTAATGATTATATATATCTTTCAAGTATAAGAATTTAGTTTTCGTTTTTACCAAAAGATGGCGCTCGATAAACTTAAAAAGACTTTGTAAAAATAATTAAAATGCGGAATCGTAAAAAATCAATTTAAAAACTTACTTATAAAGTCCATTTACTGAATTTTTCTTATATTAAACCCTACAAATAAAGTAAAGTTATTTAGTTTGATACAATTTTTAAAACACTTATCTTAACTTTAAAAAGAAAGCTTTATCAACAAATCGGTCATTTTACTGCGTTTTTATCAGTAATGATACGCAACTTGCAGTGATTTAGAATACTTTATTTTTCTCCTTTTCTGGTAAAGCCCACATAACATCTTTTCAGAGGCGAAATTTAACCTATAAGTAGGTAACCTAACCTATAAGTTCAAAGCGTTATAAACAATAAAGAAAAATACACTTTGTAAAACTTTTTTGGAAATGAGGAGCACTTCCTTGCTTAAAAATAAATTATAATTAATGATTATATATCTTTCAAGTATAAGAATTTAGTTCTCGTTTTTACCAAAAGATGGCGCTCGGATCAATTTAAAAAACTTACTTATAAAGTACATTTTTTTTATATTAAACCCTACAAATAAAGTAAAGTTATTTAGTTGGATACAATTTTTAAAACACTTATCTTACCGGCTGCTTTAAAAAGAAAGCTTTATCAACAAATCGGTCATTTTACTGCGTTTTTATCAGTAATGATGCACAACTTGCAATGATTTAGAATATTTTATTTTTCTCCTTTTCTGGTAAAGCACACATAACATCTTTTCAGGGGCTAAACTTCACCTATAAGTTCAAAGCGTTGTAAACTTCACTTCTTAGCTAAAAAATAAAGTATAATTAGTACATATATAATAAAGAACCCATTTTTAGATGCCTCAAAGATTTGTCATAACCAGAGAACACCATAGTTTTTAATCTTTGGAGCCCCATGTATTCTCCTTAATAATAACAGAGATATTTAGTCACTTTTAAAAGAGTTAACTTCTCATTGGGTTGAATTAAAATTAGTAACAAGGTTTCATTGAAAAGAAAAACTAAATTGTAGAGATGATTCGTTTTTGAACTAAACTAACTAGTTTAATGGGGCCAATTATCATTCTGGAATTATATTTAGAACTGAACTAAATCTGGCCATATTAAGATCAAAAGTACTTTTGTAGGTGTGAAAAATAAACGTATAATTAATAATAAATTCACATAAGATATATTTTTTCGATTTTTTTTAAAATAACAAGATACAATGTAACACTTAGATTTTAAAATTGAATTATTATTACTTAATCGGGGGAATGAGGAGCTTCGGTGCTAAAATATGGAGCAGAAGATTTGACTAGCAAAGTGTGGCACACATCGCAAACCTTCGACGGTCGCTGATTTGGCCCGCTTGGCACCGAGCGCACCAAACAGGTTACGCAAAAAATTTGCCCACAATGACGACAATGTTGTTTTCGTTTCGAAGCGGAAAAAGCCACGCGACACATCGGACATTCATCAACGTCTTCGTCGTGTTGCCATCGAACTTGAGTATCAGAATCGCGTATTTTTTCTAATTGTACCTAAAAATTAAATTATTAAAAAAATTTTATATTAATAATCATTTTTATTACCTGTAAGCTTTGAGATAACCTAACAAAGTCTTTTTGAACCGTCTCGCTTGTATCTAATTCTTGTTGCAAAGAAGATATTTGAGTTTTTAATTCGCTATTTTGATCCTCTAAGGATTTCTTTAAACAATTAAATTAATAACGAATTAGGATAATTAATTTGTTGTAATTTACCTTCGCGGATTCTAATTTTTCGCAAATTTCTTTATCCAAATAAAGCTTTTGTTGGATTTCTTCGCATTTTTTCTCCGCTTGTTTCGATTTTAACATTAATTCAACTTGATTTGTTGTTAAATGTTCAATTTCTTGTCTTAAATTTTTAATTATTTACAAAAAAATTAAATTAATTTGTTTTAACTTACTGTGCCATAGATAAATCTTTTTTTAAACTAGTTATTATGCTTTCTTTAATAACAATATCCGATTGGAGGGCGTAAGCTTTGTTTTCAACCTCCTCTTTGCCTATTTTAGCTATAATAAGATCTTGGTGTGAATTTAAGATGTGTTCGTGTAATTCCTAAAATTAATTTATTAATAAAAAGAAATAAATCATTAAATTAATGACCTACTTGAACCGTATTTGGCAGATTAATAATCTCACTTTGTAATTGTTGGGAATGAACGCTGTATTTGCCAATGAGGTGATCATTCTCGTTTTGTAATCTAAAAATAACTGTTTAATTGTTTATAAAGACTTTGAGTGTTTAGAAAGAAATTACTTTTCTAATTCTTGTTGGATCGTTTCCCGATCGCTTTTTAATCCCCTCAAATTCACTCCAATGTCGTCGCAGGTTTGTTTAAACGTTTGTTGCAACTCTTTTAAGTCTTGCTCCGCACACTCAGTTCTACAGGTTAATTCGGCAACTTGTTTTCTATGCTCTTCCTTTTTCTCGTTCCATTTTTCCTCCATATCCTTTCTAAACCCGATTTCTTTTAATAAATCTTCTCGGTGTCGTTCCGCGGCTTTTTCCGCAGCAACAACTTTCCCTTTTAACTCAGAACAAAGTTGTTGCTCCTTTACGAGTTGAGCTTCGTAATTACTGCACATATCGCAAATTCCATCGCCGCTTTTAACAGCTTCAAAAGAGGTATTCGTTGACATGCATTGAACGGTTAATTTCGCGTCTTCTTGAAGCGATGAATCGACTTTTGAACCGCTCTATCAAGAAATTATAATATAATAAATATAAATAATAAATTTTTGAATAAAGTTTAAACGTCAAAGTGACACAAATTCAATGTCACCAACTGTAACCAACTTCACAACACTTTGTCAAAATTAAATGTCAATTTTATGAAACGTCATGTTTTTTTTTACGAAAATTAATTAATTTATACTTAAATCATACGAAAAAAGGAATTTGTTTACGTTTTTTAATATTAGATTTTTAGAAAGTCCTAAAAAATTAAATTAACTTGACGTTTTTTGAAATTTTGAGGTTTCAAATAATTATTATTAGCCTGTCAAGTTGATTACCCGTGAAAAATGACTATCCTTTTGTTTTAGAAAACTCATTTATAAGGTATATATTATAAGGTAATTTTGGACAAATTTATTTTTTTAAATAAATTTTTGAATAAAATATAAACGTCAAAGTGACACAAATTCAATGTCACCAACTGTAACCAACTTCACAACAATTTGTCAAAATTAAACGTCAGTTTTATGAAACTTTGATATGTGATGTTTTTTAACAAAACAAAAAGAAATATTAAAATCTATTCTGAAAATGGCTAAGGGCTGAAATTGGTTAGACTTAAATTCTATATAAAATAGAAACCAGTTGAAAAGGACAAAATTAAACTCTAGATAATTTTCTTCAAACATTTTTACACAAAACATCATTTTGACTCTAGTATTTGTGATTAAATTTATGCCATGATTTACAGAAACACCTGTATAATCGTAAAACGACTGACCAAGCGGATTTTGTGCTTGTGATGGCTGTCATCCAAGGTCTATAGAACATAAGGTGTAATATTGGTTGCATACTTGCAATGATGACATCGGGTACAATAATTAATTAACACACTGTGTATATAATACGGTAGTCATGAACAAATTAATTTGTTATAATAACCTCTTGGGCGTCGTTGAAATGGCCGCATTGGATACATTTTTGAAGCTGCTCATCGGTAGCTCGTAACTTAACTTTTAACGCTTTTATTTCTTCTTCTAAAGGTACAACAAGAGATTTTAAAAGCTCCACGTCTTCTTCTTCGCGGATCTTAAACACAAACTTTATTAATAACGCTGAAAACACCCTAGCAATAATAAAAACCTTGATTTCTTCCGAATTATCCTGTGTAGTGAAAGCATCAGCACCAAATTTCTTCAATTTCTTTGTAACAGCACTAAGCACCAACCCTGGAGCTAAACTAGATTGCTCCTACAACAAAAAAATAATCAAAAATTAATTTAAACACAGTTTAAACTACCTTTATTGAGTTAACAATCCCAAATATTTTAAAATTCATTTCAAAAAGACACCTAAATGGCGTAAAACGGGTTTACACTTACCATATTCAAAGAATAAATTTAAAAAGTAGTGATAAGAAACATAAAGGTGCTTTGTTATCAAGTTACTGACACAAATACTTAAAATATGCAAAAACAATTTATATTATTCTAACTAATTAATTCTTAATTAGCAAAAAATAAAACAAACTTTCTTACCTGCGTATTATGTAACTCACTTCGTAATTCGTAATTATCACGTTGTAAATGTTCAATGAGGCTTCTTAACTTTCCAACTTCAGAATTAAAAATGCTTTTTGAACTGCTTGATTCCTCAACAGTTTCTAAACTCCCCAAAAAAAAAATTATAACAATAAAAATAAATGGATTTAACGAAATTACCATGAACTAATTGTTGTAATGAAGCGATCTCTTCAGCAGCTTTGCGTTTTTCAACTTCAACTTTCGATTCAAGTTGTAAATTGGCCACACATAACTGGGATTTAATCTCGTCTAAAGCGGATTTGTTTTTTTCCAGGTCTAAAAGTAGTTGATTATTTTCTAATATTTTTCTTTGTAGCTCATCTAAAATATTTTAAAAACAAACTCACGTTATCTATACGTAACTAAAGACCTGTTTATTGTTTATTTACAAATGACGTTCAAATAATGATAAAGAAAAACAATACCTTCTTTTTGTAGAAAAAGTTCCTTCATTTTCGCCCGTTGGCTGTCGAATTCATCCCGGATTTTTTTCTTTTCGTTTTCTAACGAACGTATTTTTTCATCTATATCTATAACGAAGTTTGAATTAACACTTTTTGTTCTCGGTGGGAAAATATAAAAAGATTTACCGTTATCTTTAGAATCCGAGGAATGATTTACATCGCCCATTACAACAGATAATACGTTTTCGTCGTTAACACCCCGAAAAATTAGTTAAAGATAGAGTTGACGCATTTCATATTCTGAAATTAACGGATTAACGTTTTTTTACATATTATGAAATAACCTCTCAAAATTATTCTATCATCAAATCTGACAACTACAACTGTCATTAATTAATTCAGTGCTACCACACGAATTCAAAAATTTTAAGATAAATATATTTCTTTAGTACAAAAAGAATTTTGTGTCTTATAATAACAATTATATAATTTAATTATTAAATCGTTATATTTCGAGTATTTTTAATAACCTAATATATTCCTAATAATTATTAATGAGGTTTTTAGTAAGTATCAATAGATGGCGCTAAACTTAAAATTTGTTGTTATTCCACATTATTAATAAATCAACGATAAAATGAATTATTTTTATAATTTACTTATTATTTCATTAATTTTAATAATAATTCTAATAAATACAAAAAAATTGATGCAATCGCAGCCAATTTCACTTAATATTTTGACACTTTTGACAGTTACCATATGGTGGGATAAAAAGAATTACAAAACATTTCCTTGTGAGTTGTTATTACACGATTCGTTCGTTTTTGGTGTTTAAAGATAAGACGTTAATTGTTATCTCAACAAATATCTATTCAGGTGTATTTGTTAACGAAAATCGTCGAAAAGAAAACTTTATTTAAATGTGTACGCACACTTTAAAAAACTACATAAAATGCATATTGCATCAAATTCATGGCTAGTTATCGTGATTTATGAACTTTGTTACTTAAGTAATGTGTATTCGGTGTCTCAACAGGTGCTTTTTTATATATTATTGGTTAATTTAATTAATATTAACTCAAAATTTTTTTTTAGAATATTGTTAAAACTCCAACTGAGCTTGCACACGAATCGGACGACAGATTACTATTATTTTCCACCTTAGATGGTAATTTACACGCTGTGGAAAAGCAAACAGGAAAAATTAAATGGAGAATAAACGATAGTAATTATATATTTACATTTCTCTCAACAATTTGTCCCAAATTATGGAAAAAAAAATTTTGAAAACTGCCATATTGTATTTGTAAAATTAGTAATTCAATTTCTAACTTAATTTAAACACAATTCAGCTGTTTCAATAGCTGTACATAATAGAAACAGGTACTTAAACGCCCTTCACAGCGAAATTTTTCTTTATTAATGTGCTCAATTTTATAGTTTAGACACTTTCAACACAATCTATTAATTCATCCATAGTTTTTGGCTATGTTTGATGCTGCAAAGACTCAATAGCGTTCAAAAAGTCAAGGTCTAAAACATTCAAATCAGGATTATTCAGTAGCTGTGATTTGTATTTAATAAACCATCCATCTCTCATCTGAAAACAACCACTGATTATTCGCTTATTAAATTCGTTATTTTTTTCTGATTACAAAAATATGGGGTTATATAGGTCTATTTCTTATTGTTTTAGAATAAAGCTAAAAATAAAGTTTTTTTTAGTGTCGTCAAAGAAATTAAATTTACAGGAAACTGTAAATTACGATACTATAACTAAAATTTATTCTACTAAAAATTTATATAAAATTTACTTTATTTTCTAATATGTAACATTCTAACATGTTAAACTTTTCGTGATTTTCGTAATCCATCTTAAAAAACAGGATTTTTAATTTGACACTTCAGAAAATTTTTGAATACAAACAAATATTGCTAGGTTTATTTGAATTAAAAAAATATATATGAGCACCATCTACCAATAATTTATTAAGTCTGAATAGACTGAATAGTATTGAAGAAGCCAAGGTCTAAAATATTCAAATCAGGATTATTCAGTTTGAATTTCTTGATCCTTCACCAATCAATTCTGCATCGTTTCCATAAGAATGCAGCTTTGCATTATCTTATTAAACAAATTGTTTTGGCTTTATGCGCTTTTTGAAATTTTGGATCTAATGGCTGGTGAAATGTGATAATCATCTTTTTGCATTCTACTGCGTTAATAGACTCGATGTTTTTGGTCACCTCGTGTCAGGTTCTTGCTGTTTCTGTTTGCAGTAAACAAAAGGCCAGAGTCCTATTTTGCCATTAAAATACTGTTTTGCTTCATCCAGCGTGACCTTTTAACTTGCAATACCACTTTCCATAAGTTGGGACAAAGGGAGTAACATTTATTAATTAATAATTTAATTTAATACTCTTTAGAACCTGTCGTTCAAGTCCCCGTAAATACGAGTGATGCAATTGTACCTCTATTCCTTCCTGATCCTCGCGATGGATCTTTGTATTTACTCGGAGATGCCAGGGAACCGCTTAAAAAGTTACCGTTTACTATTCCGCAATTGGTTGCGTCATCTCCGTGTCGTAGTACCGATGGAATTCTTTATACGGGAAAGAAAAAGGATACTTGGTTCTCTTTAGATCCAACGACGGGTCAAAAACATCACATCTTAAGCTGGGATAATATCAGCCCAACTTGTCCCGCGCCAAGTTCCGAAGCTGTTTATGTTGGGAGAACTCTTTACTCAATAATGATGGTTGATAGTAAGCATAATAATCGAAAATGGAATGTGAGTTTTTACGATTATGCTGCTAGCCCCATGAGTAAAGATATGCTTTTTGCCTATAGTAATAAAAAAAAATAATTTTTAATTACCTCATTTTAATGTGGATGAAATTTTATTAATCAGATTTTGCTCATTTCACTTCAACTTCATCTGGGAGAATCGTTACGATGGATCGAAGACAAGGCGGATTAATTTGGGAGTTGGATTTAAAAAGTCCGGTTGTTGCAGCTTATATTTTAGATCCGAACGGTTTGTTATCGCTGCCTTTAACAGCGATGGCTAACGCAACTTTAAAACATTTGACATCACATTTATTGACTCAACAACAACCATCGTTCGATACCCAACTATCCGATATGAAACTTTAGTTCGTTTTAATTCGATTTTAATTAATTAATCGATTAATTTTTTTATTATTTTAGTCCAACGATTTATATCGGGGAACATCCTTACGGGCTTTATGTCTTACCTTCGTTGGTGGATCAAAATTTGGTTAAAATTTCCGCTTCCGAAATTGGTCCTTTAGTTTTGGATGGTTTGGGAAACGCGGAATCGCCGAAAATTTACTCGGATTTTAAAAATTATGGAATTTCGCAAGGTTATTTTTATTTGTTGAGTTATTTTTGGGAATAATTTCTTATCTTTTTTTATTGCATTTATTTTATTTGTTTTAAAGGTTATTATAAAATGGATTTGTCATCGTTTCAAAGTCTCCCTGAATTTCAAGATCACGCAATCATTTTTATTGGGCATTACAACGTTCCCGAATACAGCGCAACCAAATTAATGATTGCCGGCTCAACGAATGCTCAATTAAAACTTTTAACAGACGCAAGTTCGCCGTCGATAAATAATAATATTTTGGAACCACCTGTATGTACTTAATATTAAATACAGTGTGTTAATTGGACCGCGTTATGCATCACTTGACTGAGCGACAAATTAATAATGCTTCTGTGCTTATCACTGTCACATCAATGTTTCTGTAAGTCGTGGCATAAATTTAATCACTAAAACTAGAGACAAAATCAAAGAAAGTGTGGAAAAGTGACTAACTCTAGATTAATTTCAGTTATAAAACTTCTTTACATGATAGCTAACTTCAGGTTTAAAATGTCAACCTCAATTTTGACATATTTGTAATCTTCATTAAAAATCCTTTAAAATGAGTACAAACACGACATATTTACCTTCAATCCGTCTTTTTTGATTGATTTCAAATTTTTTTTTCTTAATATTTTTCCAATCCAACCCAACAATTATTATACATCATTTTAAAGAGAAAGCTTTGAGCTTTAATTTAGAATAAGTCTCATTCCTTAATTTCAATAAATACGGCTTCCAAGAATTTTTAAATTAACATCTTTTTTCACACTTTTAGGTTATACGAAAATGTAAGTTTTATTTCAACATTTTTTTTCTCAATATTTTTTCAATCCAACCCAACAATTATTATACATCATTTTAAAGAGAAAGCTTTGAGCTTTAATTTAGAATAAGTCTCATTTCTTAACTTCAATAAATACGGCTTCCAGGAATTTTTAAATTATCATCTTTTTTGACACTTTTAGGTTATACGAAAATGTAAGTTTTATTTCAACAGCTTTTTTTCAATATTTTTCAATCCACCCCAACAATTATTATACATCATTTTAAAGAGAAAGCTTTGAGCTTTAATTTAGAATAAGTCTCATTTCTTAATTTCAATAAATAAGGCTTCCGGGAATTTTTAAATTATCATCTTTTTTGACACTTTTAGGCTACGAAAATGTAAGTTTTGTTTCAACATTTTTTTTCTCAATATTTTTCCAAACCAACTCAACAATTATCATACATCATTTTAGAGAGAAAGCTTTGAGCTTTAATTTAGAATAAGTCTCATAACTTAATTTCAATAAATACGGCTTCCGGGAATTTTTAAATTAGCATCTTTTTTGACACTTTTAGGTTATACGAAAATGTTAGTTTTAACTCAATACTCTTTTTCTCAATATTTTTCCAATTCAACCTAACGATTATTATACATCGATTTAAACAGAAAGCTTTAAACTTCAATTTAAAATAAGTTTCATTTCTTAATTTCAATAAATACGGCTTCCAGGAATTTTTGAATTAAATTGTAGGTTCATCTATTTTTTCAATTGTAGAATTTCTTGGTGTATCCAAGTGTCGTATCTAAGTCGGTTCTTAGACGTGCTTGACGCTTAGCGTTATCCTTTAAAACAAATAGTATTTCAGATCTTTCGGTATTCTGCATTTTTCTAAGATAAGTTACACCTTTACCTACCAGACAGCGTGAAAATCTCTAAAAACGATAAAATGTCGCTTAGTCAAGTGATGTATAACATGGTCCAATTAATTGTCGTACTCAACGTATGCAACCAACATCACAGTATTGGTATTGCAATGCGCGATTTGCGTATAATGCGTATTGCACTGTGATATTAGTTGCATACTTGCAATGATGACGTCGGGTACGATAATTAATTAACACACTGTACAGTAAAACCTCGATGTTGTTATATTGAGGTTTGTTTTTACTTTGTTGTGTAAATTTAATTTTTTAGTCATTAAATAATCCTTCAATTGGTGTTCAAACTGACGATGAAAATATAAACAATATAAAAGAAGAAGGAACAACTTCAAATGACCAATTTAATATTGTTTATTTGATTCAATGTGGTTATGAATCATCAAAAGAGTGGTTAAACCAACAAGATAGTAAAGGTTTAAAATTGATGGTGATTATTTTGGTTGGTTGTGTGATTGCTATGTTTTGGTACCTTCAAATGCAAGTGAGAGAATTCCAACAATGGTCTCAAAACGGTTCCCGCGGTAGCCAAAATAGCTCGTTTGAAAGAAACGGGTCCATAACGGCGATGCCGGAAGAATTAGAAAACGGAATCGTTCGTGTTGGGAAGATTTTATTTAACCCTGAAGAATTATTAGGGAAAGGATGTGAAGGAACGTTTGTTTATAAAGGAGAATTTGATAAAAGAAAAGTCGCAGTTAAACGATTACTCCCTGAGTGTTTTAATTTTGCAGATAGAGAAGTAGCTTTATTAAGAGAAAGCGACGCTCACCCAAACGTTATTAGATATTACTGCACGGAACAAGACCGAATGTTTCGATACATCGCCCTTGAGCTGTGCCAGGCTACTTTACACGATTACATTCAGGGAAAATGCGAAAGAAATTTGAGTTCGTTACAAATCTTGTATCAGGCTACTTCAGGACTGGGACATTTGCATTCATTAGATATAGGTAAAATAAAAAAAAACACTTTTTTTAAGTTGAAAATAAATTAAGAGGTATTTCATTCTTAGTTCATCGAGATATAAAACCCCAAAACGTTTTATTATCAATTCCTAATGCCAAAGGGGAAGTTCGCGCGATGATCTCCGATTTTGGACTTTGCAAAAAACTTCAAGTCGGTCGAGTATCGTTTTCGAGGAGATCTGGAGTTACAGGGACTGATGGGTGGATTGCTCCAGAAATGTTATGTAATACAAATCGAACGGTAGGTGAATAATTATGCTTTAATGCATTTATTTACTTAATACATCCTAAGTTGTTAATATTGCAATTTAGTTTCATAAAACCAAATCATTTTTTCTTTATAATCCGTTCTTATAATCTAACATTGTATTCGTAATCTACTTCAAATTCCCTTTAAAACGAGCCCAAACTCGATCGAGTTATCTTAAAAACAACAAACACCACCAACTTCCGGTTGTCACTTTTTTGAGGTTATGTCAAAATTAAATGTTGGATATCTCGATTGTTTTTTAAGATAATTGGGTCGTGTTTGGACTCAAATTAAAGGATTTTTAATTTCCCACGTGATTGTGCATAAAGATAAAACCTAACCTCACTTTGTAAATAATTTTCTTTTGCAGACGTACGCAGTAGATTTATTCTCACTTGGTTGCCTTTATTACTACGTATTATCTGAAGGTGGTCACCCGTTTGGTGATGCTTTACGCCGTCAAGCTAATATCCTTTCTGAAGAGTACAATTTGGACGATTTAAAATCGCCTCAATGGCAAATAGCGGTCCAAAGGCCGCTAATTGCAGCTTTGATCTCATCTCGTCCCCATTTAAGACCTTCTTGTAACACCGTGCTATCTCACCCAATGTTCTGGAATAGTAGCACTGTTTTAGCTTTTTTCCAAGACGTAAGCGATCGTGTGGAAAAAGCCGAACCAGACGATCCCGCATTATTAAAATTAGAAGAAAACGCGGAGCGAGTTGTTAAAAAAGATTGGAGGTATCACGTCCACGATGAAGTTGCGAATGATTTAAGGAAATATCGGTCGTATAAAGGCGATTCTGTGAGAGATTTATTAAGGGCTTTGAGAAATAAGAAACACCATTATCGCGAGTTATCGCCAGAAGCCCAATTATCTTTAGGTGACGTTCCAGAAGCGTTTACGAGATATTGGACGTCGAGGTTTCCTCTTTTATTGTTACATTCATGGCACGCAATGCAATGCGTCTCCCACGAAAAAATTTTTGTGCAATATTATCCTTCAAGGTATCAAATCAGCCAAGATATAATCGACGCTGAATTAAACGATTTAATACAATTTGAAGAGATTGATATATTCGAAGAGAATTTATTGTTTAAAGATAGCCCAAAGAAAAATAAATTTAAATACGGGAAATATCGAAATTCTTTCTCGAAGGAACGTCCAAGACAAAGAAACTATGACGACGGAAATGTTCAAGAAAACGTCGGATTATATCGTAATTTAAGAAGTAATGATAAAAAAATGCATAAAGAAATTAAATTTGTACAAAAGAAAAAGAAAGCGAGTGACGAACCTTTGGTTTGGGCCACTCAGGATATTTATAAGGATTAGGTTAAAGAAAAACTGTTAAAAGAACAGTATTAATTTACTTATTAGTTTTGAAATACTTTTGTTATTAATTTTACTGTTCTTAAACAATAACAGTACACTATTTGGTAAATCACTGTGATATTTATTCGATTTTAAGATTTTAGCACTGTTTCGACGACAAAGGACCAAGTTAATTTGTGTAAATCGAGATATTTTAATAAAAATTCACATAAAATTAAATAATACGCTTTTTTGATTCCCAGTCCGGTCCTGAACTGTTTGGTTTCCATGGAAATAGCGTTCTTCATAGAATTTAGGCATTTTTAGAAATAATTTTTGTTAAATAAGATTAAAAGAAGGGATTGTTTTTAAAAAGATGGCAAAACATATCAGAAAGCAAATTTCGGCTCAAGAACAACTTGAAATGGATATAATGGCGGAAGCGGAATTAGCAAGACTTCAACGACAGGTTAATTTAATTAATAAATGAATTTATATTAAATTATTTTAATTGTAGTATCGAATTATGGATGGTGATAGGAAAGCTTTTGAGGAAGAAGCAACGACGAAATTAAAAAAGCAACGTAAAGTAATCGAATTATTATCGAGCGATTATAAAGATTTAGAAGAAAATTTGCGAGTTGCCACAGCGAATTTTCATAAAAGAAAAGATGCAACTTATTCCATAGAAATCCAAAGATTGCTGGAAAAACATAACAAATGCGAAGAGATGATTAAAAAGGAAACTCGGCAACTTAAAGAAATCGAACATCAAATTAATAAAGTGAAACAGGATGTCCTTGAGGGTCGAAAAACCCAAGAAACAGAAAAACAAGTCCAAGAAAAATGGATAATTGGGCAAAAAAACGTCGCAACTCTACAAAATAAATTAGATACATCCGTGAAAAGATTCTGCAAGATTTTAGCCGAGAATAAATCGTTACGAGACGAAATCGACCACCTTTTAATAGAACGGTTAACAATTAAATAAAAAAATATGATTAATAAAAAAAAATTAATTTAACTCAAAATTGTTTTAGTTCCTTATTTAATAAAAGCTGGCAATCATTATTAACCGAACTAAACAACGGCAAAAAAATAATGATGGACTTAATAGAACAAGGAACCACAGCTTATGATCAACGAGAAGAATCCGGGCAAAAACTCCAAGCATTAAAAATTCGCGCCCAAAACGATTTGCTCCTCCACATGTCCGATATGCGAGAATTATTTCGCCAATTAGATCACGACGCAAACCTCCAAGATTTTTTAAGTGTAAAGGGACAAAGACGAATCTTAAAAGATTTAGAGATGAAAGAATTTTTAAAGAAACAACAAATCAGGGAAAATCAAGAAAGACAACTCTTCCATTACAAACAAACCCTAATGAAAGTTCAAGAATTAGCCGGCGAAAACGACGTGAACAAACTCGCCGCTGAATATGTTAAACAAGAGGAAGAAAATTTCGCTTTATTTAATTACGTAAACGAGTTAAATCACGAACTCGAATCTTTATCTGATAATATCCGAAAACTTTCCGTTAGTATCGAGGAACAAATCGAATTTAACGAGGTGAGGGCCCAAGAACAACAGGATACTATCGATGCTTTGAGTAAGGAGTATTTAAGAATTAAGAAAGAACTGGAGGAGGAAAGGGAGAAATTGGAAAGTAAAGAGAATGAATTGAAAGAAGTTTTTGGGGAGATTGAAAACATTTTGGATGTTATTAAATGTGATAGTACACCCATTTTGGATTTGTTGGGTAAGATTTTTAGTGGTATTTTAATGTGTAATTAGGGCCGGATTAATTATGATTTATTTATATCGATAATTATTAAAAAAAATCCCGCTCCATCTATCGTCAAGTCGAATCATTATATGTAATGGCAAGTGAAGTTTCCTTCTAATACGATTGAGATTTGTCGCAGCGTTACCAACCCTACCGATTTACCGATATAGAAGATAGTCTACGAATATACCACTTAATCTACCGATTTTCAAAATTTTAACAAAGTATTATGAAACATATACTTAAAATCAATACAATTGCGACAAAAATTGTACTTTATGGGAATACCCTACTTATATTGCATAAAAGTATATATGGCAATGTCGCTCGAGCAACGTTGCCAGATCGTTGGTATATACAGTACGCATCATAAGTAAACCTCCTGCCTAATTTGACAACGGTTCAAAATACAATATTGTCAAAATAGATATTGACGAATCTAAGAGCAAAAGTGCAAGAGAACAATATTGTTAAGAATAAAATTTGCAACAATTTTTGTTATAAAAGTTTTCTTATAGTATACTCCGATTCTCAAGTGTTACCTTTAATAACTTCAAACTTCAATCCGGCCCTAAAATTAATTTATAAATAATTTTTTTAATCTTGTATTTTTCAGGTCAACGCGAAGGAATAAATAACCACAACATTCACCTTTATTTGGGTTTAGTCGAAAATAAAATTGGTGAACTTTTAAAACAAACCAACAAATAAAAGTACATCTTTTCAACTCGTAATTGATTGAATAAAAACCAACTCTAACTCTCTTTTCTTTTGAATATTTCTTTCGTGTAATATTTACGATCCCACTGTTGAGTCAGACGCTCTAGGTTCCTGTTTTACATACAAGAAGGAACATAATTCTCCCCATTATGTTCCCGAGGACGACGTCGCTCGGTGGGTGTGAATAGGAATTCAGATTTAGCATCGGGCAGCGTTCAAAAATCGTAATTTAATTGTAAACAAGCGGTTCTGTCGGCTTGGGCCCGACGTTGCTCTCTCATTATTAACGACCTGATAAAAAGTTACGCCCCATGGGCATTCTTTGACCCCCGGTGGGACTTCCACAACCGAATCACCTTTAACAGTGATGATTTAATCCAACAAATTTTTAAAATAAATACAAAATGCGTTATATATTTTTATTTTTTCTCTGAAATGTTTTAGATTATGGTCGGCAAAAAAAGAAAGTGGGTGTCAGGTAGCGAGAACTCATTTGGGTCTATTTCGAGGCCGCAAAGAACAAATTTAAGGGCGCTTATAGATATAGGCGCCGCAGATAAAACCCGATAGACAAAAGTCACAAAAGGGACAGATCCGGACGCGTATTTCAAAATCAACGGGCCATTTATTTCAAGATCGTAACCCCACTTTGTCACCGAACCGGACTTTGATTTAATACGATTCGGAAGAATTAGATAAATCTTTTTTAATGGGAAATGAAAGTCTTACAAGGGAATTCTTTTTTACAGTTTGGAGATGTTTGAATTTCTGGAAAGTTACTTGAAAGTGCATATTTTTGTTGTTTTGCCTTGTTTGCTTATCTAGTTTAGAGCTTTCACGGAGAAAGGAATTTATATGGTAATGTTATTACGTGGGATCTTTTTATTAAAAGTTGTTTCAAAGGAAATTAAGTTGGAGGTAATCTTAATAAAACTAAATTTATTTATTAGTATAAATTATTATTTATTGTAGGGAAAGAAATCACAAACCAATAAATCATATATAATGACTTCCATTCGACACAATCTCAAGAAATAAAGAACCTAAAACGTTAGAAAATAATCTCTTTAGTGCTAAAGAAGTCAATTACGAAGATCGATTGCTCCTATAGCATATTTCTCTTCAACGTTTCTTATTTTATTTGGTGACAGAGCGAATATCTAAGAAGTCTATTCTATGCGGGTGGTTCAGCCTTTTTACCCTGTCGAAACTGAAGGGGACGGACCGAAGAAGATTGAAAGAGGTGACCCAGTGGCCCATTGTAAAAGGCTTCAGGCGCCTTATTTCCATATTCTGATTACCATAAACCCTACCCGTTTAAACTTGGAAATAAGTTAGAATCGATTTTTTTAAATTCTCGGTAAAGGAGAATCATTTTTTTCTTCTTGTATCTCAAGATCCATCGAAATATTTTATATAAATAACACCCAGGCGGTCGTTGTTTTCTTTGACCTTATCACAGAGGACTCGTTGACGTTATTAAAAATTTGATTTATCCACCGAGTACCACTGGGAATGGACCACGAAGATGGTCGATAAGTGGTACGTCGCGTCGTCAGCTTGGAGATTACCATTGATTTATGGTTTTACCATCTTCAACACCACGTGCCTTATTCGTGCCCCCGAAGGTCACCTGGTCGGCTTCTTCGCGGTCGGCACCGCTAAAGAATTAAAATATAATAGAGAACTTTCTAATCCGTTCGAATGGGGCTATTAAGTCTTCAAAGGGGAGCCTTTTATCTTAATTCGGATACCATAAATAAATCCTATGATGGAGATTTTTAAATTCCGATGCACAAAAGAAGTCGGAGGTAATAAACACTCAGTTTCACGTTTCTACGAAATCGTTTCCACGGGAGACGAGACCAAGAAAGAAAAGAAAGAATATCGTAAAACAGCGAGGGGTTGGTTTTAAAGGTATAAATTACCCCCTTTTTTGGAAATCCACCCCGTTCATAAATGATTAAATTTATTACTGCAATTCTTCGGCTTCCAGTTACCTACTAGACCCAAGTGAAGGTTCCTTTACCCCTTTTATTTTCTCATTACCTTCAACCATGACCTACGACCCCCGACATAAATCCGCGACATTTTAGATGGCGCCCACAGAGGGCCTCATTGTTAATTGCACCAAGTGCAATGTTATTGAAGAGGGCCGCAGGGGAGAGAATAAATCCTTGCGTTCGTAGGTTATAATATGATGAATATGCAAATTCCAACGAAATTAACTCCCCCGGTCTTGAAGAAGGAGAAGAACGCGGAGGCGGAGGAGGAAGTCGAAGAGGAAATCGATACCGCACGCGGTCGTTGTTGCTGCAGGAGTTGCAAGAGAAAATGCATCCGCGTCGTTTAGCACTAATAGATGGCGACAGATATTGCTGTATACTATGATTAACGGCTGTTGTTTAGCATTTTCAACATTAAAAAGTTTACTTACTGACTAATGTTTTGAAATTATGCCTAATATGTACAGGATGGTTCAAATTCGATGTCCGAATTCTACTCAGAAACTATAAGAGTTAGAAAAAAGTAGCTTACATGTCATGATCTCGTTTTCCGAAAACTTTTTTTAAAAGAAATTTTCGGTTTTAGATTTTGAGATATCATGACAATTTTCGTTTTTTTAAATGGAAACAACCACTGATTATTAGCCTATTAAATTCGTTATTTTTTTCTGATTACAAAAATATAGGGTTTGACAGGTTTATTTCCTATTATTTTAGAATAAAGCTAAAAATAAACCTTCTTTTTGGTGTTGTCAAAGAAATTAAATTTACAGTTTCCTGTAAATTATAACTAAAAATTAAAAAAAAACGTATTTCTGATTTTGAAACAAATACATTTGTTGAACTATTTAATTTATATTTGTTTTACACAAAAATTGGAATAGATTGCATTATTTCACATTTTTTATTAATATTTAATTATTATTAAATGACTTAATAAATTATTGATAGATGGCGCTCATATACTTTTTTTTTAATTCGAATTAACAGCAACATTTGTTTGTATTCAAAAATTTTCTGAAATGTCAAATTAAAAATCCTGTTTTTTAAGATGAATTACGAAAATTACGAAAAGTTTAACATGTTAGAATGTTACATATTAGGAAATAAAGTAAATTTTATATAAATTTTTAGTAGAATAATTTTTAGTTATGGTACCATAATTTACAGGAAACTGTAAATTTAATTTTTTTTGACGACATAAAAAAAAGTTTGTAAAAAGTATTTAATTGTGGTTGATAACTTATCAAAGTGGTTGAAAATTGTACCAATCAACAGCAAAAGCATAACTGAAATTATAGGAAAACTTATGACTATCTTTGCGACACATGGTATACCACAATATGTGGTATGTGACAATAATCCTTTTAACAGCTATGGTTTCCGAGATTTTGAAATTGAATTTTGAAATTATTAACTCTTGTCCATACTATCCAAAATCCAATCGACTAGCTGAAAAAGCAGTTGGAATAGCAAAGAACATAATCAAAAAATTCGAAAGATATACAAATGGGTTTATTGGAATATAGATGTACACCACTACCAGGATTGTTTTATGCTCCAAGTGAGATTTTGATGGACATATTGCTGAGAACAAAGTTGCCTTTCACAAAGAATATTTTAAGCCCTAAAGTAATTTACTCTGATTTTGAGATGCTGAATTCGTTATTGTTTGTAAAACAATGGTGTCACTGAGGAATCTGAGCATATTGCAGAAAAACTTTTAGAACAAAAGTTGTAGCAAATTTTATTCTTAACAATATTGCTCTCTTGCACATTTCTTCTTAGATGCATCAATATAGAGAAAAATAAGAGAATATAAAAATTTGCGGAATTTGTTGTTGTTTGTAAGATGTTGATGGTAATACTGAGGAATCTGAGCATATTCCAGAAAAACTTTTAGAACAAAAGTTGTAACAAATTTTATTCTTAACAATATTGCTTTCTTGCACTTTTCTTCTACGATGCGTCAATATCGAGAAAAATAAAAAAATATGAAAATTTGTGGAGGAATTCGTTATTATTTGTAAAATGTTGATGGTGTCACTGAGGAATCTGAGCATATTGCAGAGAATCTTTTTGAATAAAAGTTGGAGCAAATTTTATTTTTAACAATATTGTTCTCTTGAACTTTTTTCTTGGATGCGTCAATATCGAGAAAAATAAGATAGTATGAAAATTTCTGGAATTCGTTATTGTTTGTAAGGTGTTGATGGTAATACTGAGGAATCTAAGCATACTGCAGAAAAACTTTTAGAATAAAAGTTGTAGCAAATTTTATTCATAACAATATTGCTCTCTTGCACTTTTTTTCTTGGATGCGTCAATATCGAGAAAAATAAGAAAGTATGAAAATTTCTGGAATTCGTTATTGTTTGTAAGGTGTTGATGGTAACACTGAGGAATCTAAGCATATTGCAGAAAAACTTTGAGAACAAAAGTTGTAGCAAATTTTATTCTTAACAATATTGCTTTCTTGCACTTTTCTTTTAGGATGCGTCAATATCGAGAAAAATAAGAAAATATGAAAATTTGCTGAATTCGTTATTGTTTGTAAAACGATGGTAATACTGAGGAATCTAAGCATTCTGCAGAAAATCTTTTAGAATAAAAGTTGTAGCAAATTTTATTCTTAACAATATTGCTCTCTTGCACTTTTTTTCTTGGGTGCGTCAATATCGAGAAAAATAAGAAAGTATGAAAATTTCTGGAATTCGTTATTGTTTGTAAGGTGTTGATGGTAACACTGAGGAATCTGAGCATATTGCTGAAAAAGTAATTTAAAAAAATTTAAAAAGCTTAATTTAGAAGCTTATAAGTTGGAAAAGCAGGAAAATCAACATAAAATAAAACAAAAATATGACGAGAATACCAAGGAAAGGAAACCATTCAAACAAGGAGATAAGATTATTGTTCAGGATAAAAATACGAAGTTGTGGAAGCCAGAGCGGATTGTGAAAGAAGGCGAAAATCCAAGATCGTATAAAATCCTGACTAAAAGTAAAAACATCGTAGATATAAACAGTATACACAACAAGAGACTGATGGTGTTGTAAATTCGAATAGTGGTTTGGGTGAGCCAGTTGAAAAGATAAATTCACCTAATANAAGTGAAGTTTCCTTCTAATACGATTGAGATTTGTCGCAGCGTTACCAACCCTACCGATTTACCGATATAGAAGATAGTCTACGAATATACCACTTAATCTACCGATTTTCAAAATTTTAACAAAGTATTATGAAACACGTACTTAAAATCAATACAATTGCGACAAAAATTGTACTTTATGGGAATACCCTACTTATATTGCATAAAAGTATATATGGCAATGTCGCTCGAGCAACGTTGCCAGATCGTTGGTATATACAGTACGCATCATAAGTAAACCTCCTGCCTAATTTGACAACGGTTCAAAATACAATATTGTCAAAATAGATATTGACGCATCTAAGAGCAAAAGTGCAAGAGAGCAATATTCTTAACAATAAAATTTGCAACAATTTTTGTTATAAAAGTTTTCTTATAGCATACTCCGATTTCCAAACGTTACCTTTAATAACCCGAAAAATAAACAAATTTTCATATTTTTGTGTTTTTCTCGATATTGACGCATCTAAGAGCAAAAGTGCAAGAGAGCAATATTGTTAACAATAAAATTTGCAACAATTTTTGTTATAAAAGTTTTCTTATAGCAAGTTCCGATTCTCAAGTGTTACCTTTAATAACTTGAAAGAGCAACAAATTCATAAAATTTTCATATTTTCGTATCTATCTCGATATTGACGTATCTAAGAGCAAAAGTGCAAGAGAGCAATATTGTTAACAATAAAATTTGCAACAATTTTTGTTATAAAAGTTTTCTTATAGCATACTCCGATTCCCAAACGTTACCTTTAATGTCTCGAAAAATAAACAAATTTTCATATTTTCGTATCTATCTCGATATTGACGTATCTAAGATCAAAAGTGCAAGAGAGCAATATTGTTAACAATGAAATTTGCAACAATTTTTGTTATAAAAGTTTTCTTATAGCAAGCTCCGATTGTCAAGTGTTACCTTTAATAACTTAAAAGAGCAACAAATTCATAAAATTTTCATATTTTCGTATCTATCTCNGTACCATAATTTACAGGAAACTGTAAATTTAATTTTTTTTGACGACATAAAAAAAAGTTTGTAAAAAGTATTTAATTGTGGTTGATAACTTATCAAAGTGGTTGAAAATTGTACCAATCAACAGCAAAAGCATAACTGAAATTATAGGAAAACTTATGACTATCTTTGCGACACATGGTATACCACAATATGTGGTATGTGACAATAATCCTTTTAACAGCTATGGTTTCCGAGATTTTGAAATTGAATTTTGAAATTATTAACTCTTGTCCATACTATCCAAAATCCAATCGACTAGCTGAAAAAGCAGTTGGAATAGCAAAGAACATAATCAAAAAATTCGAAAGATATACAAATGGGTTTATTGGAATATAGATGTACACCACTACCAGGATTGTTTTATGCTCCAAGTGAGATTTTGATGGACATATTGCTGAGAACAAAGTTGCCTTTCACAAAGAATATTTTAAGCCCTAAAGTAATTTACTCTGATTTTGAGATGCTGAATTCGTTATTGTTTGTAAAACAATGGTGTCACTGAGGAATCTGAGCATATTGCAGAAAAACTTTTAGAACAAAAGTTGTAGCAAATTTTATTCTTAACAATATTGCTCTCTTGCACATTTCTTCTTAGATGCATCAATATAGAGAAAAATAAGAGAATATAAAAATTTGCGGAATTTGTTGTTGTTTGTAAGATGTTGATGGTAATACTGAGGAATCTGAGCATATTCCAGAAAAACTTTTAGAACAAAAGTTGTAACAAATTTTATTCTTAACAATATTGCTTTCTTGCACTTTTCTTCTACGATGCGTCAATATCGAGAAAAATAAAAAAATATGAAAATTTGTGGAGGAATTCGTTATTATTTGTAAAATGTTGATGGTGTCACTGAGGAATCTGAGCATATTGCAGAGAATCTTTTTGAATAAAAGTTGGAGCAAATTTTATTTTTAACAATATTGTTCTCTTGAACTTTTTTCTTGGATGCGTCAATATCGAGAAAAATAAGATAGTATGAAAATTTCTGGAATTCGTTATTGTTTGTAAGGTGTTGATGGTAATACTGAGGAATCTAAGCATACTGCAGAAAAACTTTTAGAATAAAAGTTGTAGCAAATTTTATTCATAACAATATTGCTCTCTTGCACTTTTTTTCTTGGATGCGTCAATATCGAGAAAAATAAGAAAGTATGAAAATTTCTGGAATTCGTTATTGTTTGTAAGGTGTTGATGGTAACACTGAGGAATCTAAGCATATTGCAGAAAAACTTTGAGAACAAAAGTTGTAGCAAATTTTATTCTTAACAATATT